CAGCAGTGTGATTAACTCGCACTTAGACAGGATATAGCGCCGCTCATCCTTCAATCACTGGATCCACATCACGCAATCACACGTGTTGAGTGGCTCCTCGAGCAACGACTTCTCAGATGGAAGTTTCACTCATCGAGTGGAGTTTATTCTTCCACTGAGCTACTTAATCACACTGCTGATCAGCTACCTGTGACCGAACGGTTGAGTGTTCAGACTACAAGCCAGGAAGTCACGGGTTCGAGACTCTTCGGAGTTTCGTGAGATGCGCACTGTTGATGATTCCCAATAAGGATGAGACAGCTGTACAGTGCTTCTCGGCTTTTCAGCATAGATTGGCTTCACTTGCTGGACGAAATCTCCACAAAAAATACAATGTATGGGTGTGTAGGTTAGTTGAACTCCATACCATCCAATCAGTCAACGAAGGCCACCTCTCCTGCGCTCGAAAGGAAGCGATTGTCACGGTAATCTACAAATCGCTTCCCGACTGGCGGCTGCAAGCCTATTAGCCCCGATGGCATACCACGTAAGACAGAGGAACTCATTCTGAAGCTTGGTATCAACAATTTGATGTTCGCGGCGCAACACGGATCGCTGGCAAACTGCTCTTGCGTGACAAACATGCTCGTATTTATGGACAACATAGCCCGAACTGAGGAAGGGGGACTCACACTGGATGCCATATTTTCCAATGTTTCCGAAGCATTCTATCGGGTCCCACTGCTCCACGAACTCGAGTCATTAAAAGTGAACGAGTTTTCGGAACAATGGAGACCATACAGATGTTTTTCTGTCTCTGAGCATAATCCATGAAATGTAATCAAACATCCAAACGTTTATTAACTCAAAGATCAGATAATATGAGTTGACAGGGGAAAGAGGCTTTACTGAAATGGAATTGCCTACTATCAAATAAAACCATAGGGAGCGTTTTGTACTAGATGACCGGCTTAGTTGTTTTTTCCCTGAATCTTTAGGTAAAAGCAATTCTCCGGGAAAAAAACTGGGAATCTGTAAGTTGGCAAGATGAGGAATCTCAAGGATCATTACATTCCGCTTAGAACCCAACGGACTACATCCAATCAGTCAAACTAATCAGTCTTAACAACAGCCAAAACGAACTCAATGCGTTTTGTGTGATGCATATGTTGGTCAAAAATGCAAATTAAAGCACTACAAAAATCACTAACTGTGATCAAAGCACCAATCGAAATACTATGTCCAAAAAGCCTGAATTTGCCATGTAAGCAATATTCTTTGCGATTCCGCAAGTCTGTCGAAAATAGTAGGTACGTTTTTACACCGCCAACATGAATCGTCGCCTCCAACTATGTGCAGAAGCTTCCCGATTCCAAGTGGATACAAGATTAACAATGTCCATACAAGTCCTGGAAATTACGTGACCCTTCTAGATTTAGTAGCAGCAAGAAGAAACTCTAAAGAGCTACATCAGAACATGTGGTACGCGAGTGAAGTTCAAAAACCATGTCTTGAGTTTTCATGATATTACCAACTTCTTACGCAAAGGGCTACTGAAGTATGGTCATTTCATCAACTAAGAAATCTTCTGGAAGGCTGTCTAGCCAAAGACTGACATGATACAGGTCAAAACGATGACGTGCTTTCAAAATTGACAGCGAACTTCTGAAAAAAAGCAAGACAGATCCCGAAAATCTACCGGTGAACAAGCTGTTTGTGATTGTAACAATCAATTCGGAAGTTACAAGGTTAGTGACAAGAACAGCTGGCAAGCAAGTCAATGTCATTGTTGTGAAGCCCGAAATACTTGATTTTTCCGTCAAAATTCATCTCTTACCAATTCCAAATCAGCGCACCTACGTTGGAGTTAACGATAAGCCCGAAAACTTGATTTTTCCGTCAAAATTCATCTCTTACCAAATTCCAAATCAGCGCACCTACGTTGGAGTTAACGATTCTCAAGTAATTTAAACTCTCTAGCCAGAACTAGGGGACAATCATATCAATCCAGGTGAGAGGAAGAAGGCCTTTGCTGCGGATTTATTTGTTAGAAAATGCCAACCGACTGGTTACAGACCATTGGACTGGGAAGCAAAACTCTCATTTGCATCTTATTTACAAAAACTGAACACCCATCTTCTCCTGAACGAGTCTTCTTGAACTTTACTGGATATTCATTGACCCCAATCATTCATTGCTCAAATCCAAACAAAACGACTCCACAAATTCCGTAAGAGATCTCCCCTTTCCAAGAGACCCAAAGCGAAATTCCAAGAACAACACATACTGCTCGCATGCCTCCCCATCAGTATTATCACCGTTACACAAGTATATAGCCATATACTGTTGTCCGACCACGGTGCTTAATTTTAGCGACACATACCAGCTGAGCTATTTCTCAGTGTTGCTCTTCTTATGCGGAGGTCTTCTCCACACTTTAAGTTCTGAGGTTTCAATCAGCGACATCAGTTGCTCCATCTTCACAAATTCGAGAAGCTTGGTAGACAGCTCTAGAAAATTCTGCTCACTTCTTGATTCTCCTCAAGTCACTTAACTTACAATATTCCTTTGACTAGTACGTTTATTACTTTTAGCAAAATAGTGTTTGAAGAGCAGTTTTCAACATGGTTACCTCGGTCGGGATAGCAGAGAGTTGTATGGTTTACATTAACGGCTCACTAACTGAGTGAAACAGGCAGATACCTTTCGTCAAACCGAGGTCGTAACCGAGGTCTGAGCACAGGACATGGGGGACCTTAAGATAATTCCAAACAACTCTAGTTCACTGAGATATTCACGCATACTGGTAGTTTGCG